TTGTGCTGCATTATACAATATCAGGTATTATTATATTTATCTCAAGCTCCCTTTAAGCAACTCTAGCGCCTAGTTTTTGCATAAATTTTTTACGCAGAATTCTAGCATTCTGAGTATTTTGATATATGATGTATGTGATACGTAACAAACAGCTAGGCCTTGATTTCAAATTTCGGCTTATAAAAAAAAAAACAATTATATAACATCACTTTTGTTTCAAGCTCTGGCATGAAACCATGCAAGCATACATTAAACCACACGGTTTTCTTTAGCGTGAAAAAAAGTAAAATAGTTAAATAAGGTAAAAAATCATACAGCTATAATGTAGGCGTATTGCTTTAAAAATTTATACGTGTAATTCCTCTTTTTAAGATTTAATTAATAATTTAAAGATAATTTTTACAATTTATATTAAGAAAAGAAGAATCACCGATACACCTCCGGATTACTCTAATCTATTTAGAACTTCTGTAGAAAGGAATTGATAAATAATTATTCAATCAGGACTAAAAATTTTAAGCATCGAAATAAGCTTTCATTCATTTGATTATTATGCAATAAATCATCGAGCATCAGACGAAGTTAAAATTGGTCGGATAGAGACAAATTTTTTATAAACATGAAATTTTATTAATCTTGAATAAAAATACTGTATCTTCTATTAATGTTCCCGTAGAGCTAGCTCTCTTTTAATAACGAATAGGACGAATTTAACTGTCAGTTTTTTGATGAAGCAAAATCTATGTATAGATGACGGTTATTTATAGTTTAAAAAAAAAAAATAAAAAAATAAAAAAATTCCAACACCCTTTAAACAATTCAAACGCCTAGTTATAATAAAATTTTGTAATTTTTATAAATTTCTGTTTTTGTTAGTTTATTTTTTTCTTCACGATATCTTCAATAAGATTTAACAAAGTTCATCTGTATCTTCGTCATCTTTTATTAGTTTATCATCATTTTCGCCATTTCATCACTTACGATTTTAAATAAGAACTAGGCACTTGAGTTGCTTAAAGATGAGTGTACTATATCTGATATTGTATTATGCAGTGCAAGGACTTCATATTGTGATTAGGCTCCATTGTTGCGATAGCAGTGCAAGAACCTCATGTGTATAGTTTAGTAATTTGAACCGAAAAAAAATTCTTTAATTGGTTAACCGAACCAATTTATTTTATTCAACCAGTTGTCAATCGGTTGAGATTAACTATCTCTACTTTTTGTTTTATCTTCGGAAATTTTCGTAGCTTTTGCTTAAATTTTGCCTCAACTTGCTCATCTTTTATGTTCATTTATTTTTCTTTTCAGAACTTCTCTGAACTTATTAGAACCATTGCTCCCTCTTCAGCTCTTTATATCATCTTCGATCCTGCCGACTGATTAAGAATTTCCTCAACCAGTTAACCAAAATTTATTCAGTTTGGGTCGATTAACCGATTCAAATCACTAGTATAGTTGCCATTCATATTACCCACTATTTGAGATTAGTTAAAGCTGTGGAACTTGTTCCAAACTTACTATTTGAATTGGGATTTGGGTAGTAATGGGCACCACGCATGATCCCATGCATGATGCACGGGATTCGAAAAACTTCTGCGCGGGATATCTTGTATAATTCGGGCAGTATTATAAATCTGGCTGGTTTCTGAAATATTCCAAGTACAAGGTAAAGTTTTGACCCATTTCCGCAAAATTCTGAAACATAAAAAGAACCAATCCTGGGTATAAATCAAAAATTTGGCTTTAAAACTGTTGCAGGGTATAGTACACAGGGGTACATATGTCGGAGGAATACGGTATATTATTTGATTCAGTTATTAACGTTTTACTAAGTTCTATGATAACTTTATTATATTGATCAAGTTTAAATTTAGCACTAGTTTTACCTAATATCATGAATGAATTATTTAATTCAATTTCTAATATATTTACTGAGTTTTGATGATATTTTTCGTGTTGATTTAGCTTATAATTGGCCTCTCTTTGATAAAACAATGCAATTGAATTATTTGGTTCAACTTCTAATGCTTTATTCAAAAATGTAAGAGCATTTTCAAGCCCTCCTTGAGTAATACAGATTTTTCCATAAAAAATTAGTGTAATTGAGTTATTTGCTTTTTAAAAATTTTTAAGCGCACACTTAAATTGCCCACGTAAAAAATGACCTTCTCCACAAAGTATATATGCAATTACATTATTAAATTTAATTATTTCTGAGTTATCCATTACAGCATTTTTCCTTGCTTTAAAGTCAAGCTCATTGTAAGCACTTATAAGTAGGCCTCCGCATGGGCCTGGGCTACCCATGGATACCCGTGAATAGTACCATAAGGGCCGGGTTAGGGTATTGATTTCTGGGCCCTAGGGTAGGGTAAGGGCTTAAAAATAAAGCCCTTACACAAACGGGTAGGGCTAGGGTAGGGCTAGGGTAGTATCACAGGTACCTGTTAGTTGTTCATCGTATACCTACTGAATATATAAGTGACGCCAAGAGAAAGCAACACTTGAACTTTTTATAATTTACTGGACTCAATTGCACAAACTTTTTTAAAAACTGAGTCTGGTAAATTATAAGCTTAAGTTTCGGAGTCTAATTTTTCTTGGCGCTACTCATTAATATTGTCTTTGAATACATTTATAAGAAACCTTATATATGTCGACAAAATTCAAACTGAAAATTTACTTTTGCCTTCTAGTAAGTAAAGGGTTGATTTTGACAGACGATCGCTTTTCATATTCTAGATCACTATACTGCTGTACTGATAATCTTTATGGTATATTATAGTACAGCTTTTTTTTTTTCAGATCATATAACTTACGTATGCACATATATTTTTTATTTGCATAATTAGAATTGTTCTCTTTCAAAATCTTTATTAACTTATATGGTTTAAAGCTAGGGCCCATGTGAGGTTAGAATTAAAAGCAAAATCCTTCCTAAATATTTAAAGTAGGTATCCTTGCATTGATATTTTGTATTCTATTTTATTTTTACTTCTAACAGAAGCTTTAATTGTATAGAAAATGGCGAAGCAAACAATTCTGATCTTGCACAATGGTCTAATGCAAATGTTTTAACCTATACTCAAAAATTGTATTAATTTATTGTAGTTCGAAGATAAGTACACAAAGTTTTATTTTAATTAAATAAAAAATTTGATTTTGCTATAACTCATATTGCACAAAAGAACTAAGTACTAACTTAATCAAAAAAAAACAATTTATTTATCATCTGGTTCATATAAGTTAGATCCATTTTGCATAATACCATGACTCTTCCATAAATGAGATATTAAGTTCAAAGTTGACCCGCCTACAATTTTTAATTGTGCATCACAATTTTTATCCGAATCATTTGATACAAGGCAAGTGCAATATGTAGTTTTAACATTAGTACAATTAGAACTTTCTTTTATAACTTTTAACTGCTTTCTCTGACTTAAAATATTTCCACACCCAGCTTTGGTTTTTTGATACATCTTTATGATCTAATTTTTGGGGGATATCAGTCTCATTTTCTTCACTTGTACTTTGGCTTTCTAGTACAAGACTGTCAGGTTGGTTAATAACTAGCTTATCGGATGATTGGACTGATGGAGATTGTAAATTGCCTTCTTCCATAATTTAAGTATTAAGCTCAGGTTTAACTTTTTGTTAAAAAAAATAATAAGACGCAAGAATATAACATATAGTATTTAGATCAATCGACAACAATCGAAATATAGCACAAGTGAAGACCGCTATTCTTGCACAAGACTTTATAATCTTTTACATAATTATGATTTTTGATATATCATTTTACCTTTTCTTTCTGTTTTATATGAATTAGGAAAATTATAAGATCATTACACTATTGTATCGGTGAACTATTTTATTTTCTATAATATGCAAAGTTCTTCATTTATTTTTAACTCAGCCTTATTTTTTATAGGGCAATGCATTAGGGTAGGGTCACATCAATAATATGTTGTGGACAACATCAATCTGAATATTCTGGGAAGTTATACGTACGTACGTACTGCTTTTTTTATCATATAAATTTAGATTGGCATTCTTCCACCATGTCAGAGATTGTTCAGAGTAGAAATTGCTACCCAAATATATAATTGGGAACTTTCTCAATGGGTCTAATTTTAAGTATCATTGATGTATTCCAAACACACAACTGCTAAAAGCTGTAGTTAGAATTATAAAGACCCCTCTTCAAAGAGTTTGTAACAATGGAGTATTTAGTACTTATTGTTGTATATTTACTTGATTTCAAATATATACGGTTAAATTCTTTAACCATAGAATAAATACGTATCTAATTAAAAACTGCAATTCGCGATTTATTTAAACTGAATTTATATAATACGATTTTAATAAAAATATTTAACTCTTAAAAATATAATATTGAATGGTCTGGAAATACCTATTTTTGTAATATTTGTAACTGTATTTTACAAAAACTTGAATTCTGTAAATTTATTAAATCAACATACCTCTTGATGCGAAGTACAGTACATTCGTTCTCTTCTGGCGATCATACTATTGATCGTACTATTTCATAGTTTATCAAACTCATACAATACAATGTTCTACTTGAATATACTGTATATGCATATTCCTTTTGCATTTTGTTTTTTCTAAATATATGCATTCAGAAGTTTTAGAAGAGCAATAAAAATATTGGATTCTTTTTACTTCGTTCTACTGAAATATATACTGAAACTGAAATGAGTGTCGCGGTGTTTCTTAATGCCCCATGTACTTGTAGCGGTACCCATGTGACTGGTGATCGGGTACGTACGTGATCGAATATTGTGATCGGGGATATGCATGATCCCCGATGTCTAAAAATAGAATTGCATAAACAATGTAGT